CTGTATAAGAAGGTCAGTTTGACTGAACTTTGGATTACATGAAGAAGAATGTAATGTGTGATAAGCCTGGAAAGGCAGATTGAGGTTAAGTTGTGAAGATCATTAAATCAAATGGAGGAGTTTGTATTTGATACTAGAAGTGAAGGGGAGATATTGGTCTTTATTAAGTAATGGACTAACATGGTGAAAACTGTACCTTTGGGAAATCATTTTGTCAGTTACATGGAGTATGGATTTAAGTTGGGAAAATGAGGCAGAAGAACAAATCAGGAAGCTATTGCAAATAGCTAACTAACTTCTAATTGTGTCACTCAGGGTTTTGTGCTGGGCCCTCTTCTTCTTCCCTCTATACAACTTCCTTTGGTGATCTCAGCAGCTCTTATTGATTTAATTACCATCTTTATGCTAATGATTCTCACATCTATCTTTCCTGTCCCAAATTATCAGCTGACCTCCAATCTTCATCTCTATTAGACATTAAATTGGATGTCCAGTAGATATCTTAAACTCAACATGTCTCAAAATGACTGATTATCTTTGCCCCTAAGACCAATACCCACCTAATTTCCATATTACTGTAAAGGACAACACCACTCTCCCAGTCCCTCTGGATTACAACCTTAGAGTCATCCTGGACTCCTAACTGTCTCTCACCCCCATATCCAATCTGTTGCCAAGGCCAGTTGATTTCATATTTGCAACATCTCTTGAATACATCCCCTTCTCTTCTCTGACACTGACACCACTCTAGTGCAAACCCTTCCCACCTCAAACCTGGATTATTGCAATGGCCTTCTGGTTAGTCTAAGTGCCTTGTCTCTCCCCATTCCAGTCAACCTTCTATTTAGCCACTAAAATGATTTTCCTTAAGATTAGATCTAAATCACATTACCCCTCTACTCAATAAGCTTCAATCTCTGCATATTGCCTCTAGGATGCTCTGTTTGATGTTCAAAGCCCTTCCTAACCTAGCCCTCTCCTACCTTTCCAGTCTTTTTACTCCTTACTCTTCACCATGTACTCTTCAATCCAGTGATGCTGACCTATTTATTCTGTATATAGCATTATATATATATGCACATATATGTATATGTGTACATATATATGTGTGTGTGTGTGCATGTTTTCTTGCACATTAGATTGTAAACTCCTTGAAGGTAAATTCTGTCTTTTGCCTCTATTTGTATCTCTAGCACTTAGCATTGGCACATAGTAAGTGCTTTATAGATGTTTATTGATAGATTGAGAAAGAGGAAGAATCACAGAGGTAGGAGGAAAACCAAAAGAAATCACCATCACAAAATCCAAAGAAAGCAAAAATATGTAGGAGGATAGGGTAGTCAGCAGTGCCAAAGGCTGCAAAAGGGTCAAGACAGTTACGGGCTGAGAAAAGGTCATGAGATTTGAAATTTGGCAATTAAGAAATCATTGGTAACTTTTCAGACAGCAGTTTCATATGAGTGATGGAGGTCAGAAGCCAGATTTGAAAGATTTGAGAAGGAAAAATAAGGTTTGAGGGAGGAAGGAAAGCAGATGAATCAAGCGTAGCTAACTTTTTCTAGGAATTTGTTTGCGAAAGCAAGGTGAGATATACTATAGGGTGATAATTTAAGGGGGATGTAGGATCTAGTGGATTTTATAAGGATAAATACCATTTGAGCATGTGTGTTAGCATGTCAGTTAGAGAAGGAACCAGTAAATATGGAGAGACTAAGGATTTGATCATGGAGGAAGAATCATTGTAGTTAAGCCTTAAAAAATGGCTGTGATACTAACAGGCAACTTCATTTGTACTTCATAATTAGATCCTTCCTAATTACAATGATAAAATCTAGTTTCATTTTTTTAATTGTTTCAGTGCTGCTGATCCTATTTTCTTGAGGAATTGAATAATCTTTGAAATGTTGAAGTTGTTCCACACTATCAGTTGTTGCAATATCTCTAATAGTCATTGATGTGTACTCTCTGAAAGCAATAGGATTTTTCCCCTCCCTATTGTCTTAGTGTAATATTGTTTAAAACCACAGAACTAAAACCACAACACATGAAAGCACTGAAATATGTGCATGTCATGAAATCTAGAACTCAGCAAAGAATTATCAAGAGGTGGAGAAACCAGCTCAATCTGTCATCAACTGATCATGGCCAGTCAGTCAATGAGCATTTATTAAATGCCTGCTCTGTGCCAGGGGCAGTTAAGTAGCACAGTGATAGAGTGGTGGGCCTGAAGTCAGGAAGATTCATCTTCCTGAGTTCAAATCTGACCTTGGTCTATGTGACTGTGGGCAAGTCATTTTACCCTGTTTCCCTCAGTTCATCTGTAAAATGATCTGGAAAAGGAAATGACAAACCACTCCAGTATCTTTACCAAAGAAAACCCCAAATGGGGTCACAAAAATTAGGACATGACTGAAATGACTGAACACTAACAACAACTTTGTACCAGGTACTTTGTTTAGCCCTGGCGATACAAAGCAAGGCAAAAGAAGGTCCTTTCTCTCAAGGAGCTCATAGTCTGGCAGGGGAAGAGATTCTGAATGAGTCTAGTATCAGGAGAAGCTTACAAAGGTGGCCATTCCTATAATGAAGTGAAACCAATATCAACATCATTGCTCATCCAAATTAATTAATACACTACTCTAGGGCTAAATCTGAGCCAGTGCAATCCACCACGTAGGTTAAGGGTGAATCAGGCTTAATCATTATCATTAGCCAATTTCACCAGTGGTGTAATCTGTATACACTAACAATGTAACATTTTGCATTATTATTATCTGTGTTTGTATAATTTTACCCTAATGGATTATAAGGCCTTTGAGCATAGGAACTCCATCAAATCTAAACTTTACACCCGCAGAGCAAGTGTTTAGCAAACTTGTCTAATGAATGAATGAATGAATAAAACAAAATAACAGCACACAGATTCATGCAGATAAACCATTTATATTTTTGGTTAGAGGGGCAGGCCACTAGGAATACATGCACACATACATATTGACACATGAGGAAAATAATTAGGCTCTCTTAACAACAGCAAATTCACAGCGTGGTATTTTAACTTATTCATCCTGGATCATGTTCCTTCAAGTATTTTATAAAGAAAAAAAAACCTGAAACCTAGAGAGAAGTGGTTTTCTTGATCTCACACAGCTCTTCAGAGTCAGAAGAGGAAAGAAATCCAAGGTCTAATATTCTGGGATCCTATTTCTGACATGGAAGTCATGGACTCTGCAATCATCCCAGTTCTGAGTCCTGTGATGCTATGAAATTAGGTGGCTAAGTGGATAGAGTAATGGACATGGAGTCAGGAAAACCAGTGTTCAAACTAGAGACAGCCACTAGCTGTGTGATCCTGGACAAGTCACTTAACTTCAGTCTACCTCAGTTTTCTCCTCTATAAAATATGGGTAATAATAACCCCTACTTCCCAGGGTTGTTGTGAGGATCAAATGAGATAATGTTTGCAAAATGCTTTGTAAATCTGAATGTACTATATAAATGCTAGCTATTATTTATAATAATTATTATTAGCAATAATAATTTTATAGTTAGAAAGGACTTTAGAGACTATACAGTTATAGCTTGGCATAGCAGAAAACACAGCAGACCTTGAATTAAATTACCTGGTTTCGAGTCTTTGCTGTGACAGTTATTAGCTGCATTAAAACTCTCTGAGCTTCAGTTTCTTCAACTATAGAAGGGGAGGGAAAAAAAAAACAACCTCCATAGTATCTACCACAAGGAACTATTTTAAGAAATATGTTTTGTAAACTTTAAAGAAATGTGAATGCTTCTTCCATCCCAGGAACAACCTTCAAAGCAACTAGGCGTCACTAAATTAGCCTTGGCTTTCCTGTGCATCTCTTATATATTGCTATAAGGCAATGAATATAGAGGTTTTTTTGTTTTGTTTTGTTTTTCTTTCAAACTCCAGTAAATTGTCATAATTCTTTAGCATTTTCCAAACCATAAAAACAAAGAAAAGGAGAAATAGGAGCATGTTTACATTTTGAAAAAAAATGTTGCAGGAACATAACTTTCATTGATACTATTCTTTTAGGGTCAAATGATTTTTTTTTAAAGAAACTTTTTTCTGCTACATTGACATTAGACAAAGACACTTTTCTTTTTCTTCTGAGTTTTTCTGATAGTACTAGTTGCAGTGTTTGAAGTGGTACCCCCTGCCACTGACCTCTGTGACTCTCTGATCAAGTCTCTTTGTTCCTGTCAGTTACCCAAGAGGAGATAATGGTGTGTCCTTTCTGTCCAGCACCCAGCTCCAGGAATAACATATTCCTCCCACAATGTGCTCACGCTAGTCTATTTTCAATATTTTGGCCAAGGGCTTTGGAAATATTCATCAGCTATCAATTCATATGGAAACAAGCATAACCCAGTGAAAATTTCACAAAAGGGTACCGGCCCCAGGGGCAATGTGGAGTGCCTCCCAGCCTCTTCAAAGAAGGTTCAAACACACCCAACCTCACCACGCTCATTGAAACCTGGGTTGAGAATATCATGGAACTGTCATTTTCTCTCCAGGCTGTGACTAATGTCCAATTTCAGAGCTGAAGCTTCTCCGCCCTCTTTGTTCAACTTCAAAGGAATTTGTGGGCAATAGGAAGGCCATATTTGGACCTCAGTCAAGATATTCCAGGGTTTTGTGTTGTGCAAGTAAACAGTTATTTTAGATGGAACCCTTTCATGGTGGTCACATGCCCCTTCAAAATAAGCAACAATCTGTGGAAATAGTAGTCTCTGTTTTGGCCAGAAAATCTCCAAATCATAAAGCTGGAACCTTAGAGGAAAGCTGGAGGCCTTCGAACATAAAATGTTAGAGCTGAAAGAGTCCTTAGAATTTAAAAGATCAGGGTTAAACAGGGACCTGAGGATACAAAATGTCAAATCTGGAAGGTCACTTAGAACTTAGACTGTCAGAGTTGAACGAGTCCTTAGAGCATAGAATACAAGGTTATAGGGGACCTTAGGAAGACAGTGACATGGACAGGAAATCTCTTGGAGAAATCATGGAGGTCAATGAGAAGCTTGCCGAAGCTTACAGTGAAGCTGCAACCAAAGAGATCAAAGTCTTTGTTAGAGCTGAGCAAAAAGAATTGACTGAAGACTTGAGCAAATCTTTCAAACAAAGTGATCTTCAAAAGCCAAGGAACTTTTAGGAAAAATGAAATGTTTTGCAAATTTAGATAAAAAAGTAAAAATAAAGAAGACATCATCCTAACTGGAGATGGGTGACAACTTTAATACTGTCTTTGTTTCCATTAAATTCTTGTACAGAAAAAAAGAGAAAATTTAGGACTTATAATTAGGACTGAGAAGGGGCTTCAGAAGACAGATCTTGCAATGTTATTATAAGAAATGATAAAAAAATGATCTTAGATCATTGGATGCTGTATTAGAGCTAGAAGGACCTTAAAAATTAGAACACCAAATGTCAGAATTGTCAGGGACCATAAACATACACTATAAAAGCCAGATGGAATATTAGAACATAGGATATGGGATGTGAGAGTTAGAAAGAACTTTACAGCATTGACCATAGACTGTCAGAAATGTATAGGATCTTAGGTCATGGGATGTCAGAGCTAGAAGAAACCTTAGAAAAGACTGTGGAAGATGGAATGACATTATGCATTATATACAAGTGCAGTCAGGAAGACCAGAAACTTACTGGATATATGACCTTGGGTGAGTCACTTAATTTATCTGATCCTCAGTTCCTCATTTGTAAAATAATAGCATCTACATCACAGGATTGTGAGTTATCAAATGAGGTTAATATATGTTAAACCTTTTGCAAACCTTAAAATGTTATACAAATGTTAAAAAAGAAGAAAAATATCCAGTATCATATCAGAGCTATATGAGATCTTAGAATATAGGGCATGCAATGCTAGAACTGGAAGACAGTTGGAAAAACCAAAAGAACATAGAATATCAAGTAGCAGAGCCTGAAGGGGTCTTTGATCTCAAAACACAGAATACCAAAACTGGAAGAGACCTCAGAATGTAGGACACAGAATGTTAGAGCTGGAAAGTCTCTTAAAAATCACTGTCTCTCCTGCCTTCTTCCCATGCTTTCCTCCTCCATCCCTTTATATTACAGAGAGATAGTAAAGAAAAGTGACATGGCGGTAAATGCACAGGTAAATGAGGGTAGTCACTTAGTAACAGCAACAGCAACAAAAGCAATACATACCACCACCAAAACAATTATAATAAATTATAATCGTAGCTAACATTTATATAGGGCTCGCTATGTGTCAGGCACCGTACTAATTGCTTTATAATTATTTTCTCATTTGATCCTAACAACAGCCTGCTAGGTAGGTGGTATTATCATCACCATTTTACAGATAGAGGGTAAGTGACTTGTCAGGGTCACACAGCTAGTAAGTGACTGAAGCTTGATTTGAACTCAGATCCTCCTGACTCCAGGCCCACTGCTATATCCATTGTGCTACCTTGTTACTTCTATGAATTTCGGTGCCCTCACATGTAGGACTAGGTAATCTTTAAAGTCCTTTCTAGTTCTAAATCCTAAGATTCTATGATTTTATGAAAGAATTGGAAAGGTGGAGAAGACAACTTTTCCTTGTGTCTTGGCCTGACCCAGTTGAGGCACTGCCACAAATGTTCTCCTATGGCTACCACCCTACATTCAGGTAAAAGGATTTAGTTATTTATTACATAGTGTCTTAGGTTTAAGAACTGGAAGATCCCTGGGAGAACATTTAATCCAATATCCTCATTAGATAGATGAGTAAATTGAGAGCCAAGGAGACAAAGAGACTTCTCTAAGTGAGGTTGAATAACCAGTCAGTGCCAGAATAGGGATCAGTACTCCTTCTACCAGACAACACTAGTTGTTGTGCTACAGATTACTGCCTCCCATCTCCTTCCCACATTTTAAGCAAAATTGAGAAACTTTGATGGGATAAGCTGATTTGGAATGCCTATGGGCCAATTTGATACAAACCAGATTCTGCCACTGGGCTGTAATTAACACACTACTGTGCAACCTCCTGTCTAGGTCAGGAGTCCAGCAATTTTCCTTCCCCCTGGTAGGATGCATTCCCCACAACTTTCTGTATGGTTCTGAGCTAGGACCAACACTCACTTGCTGTTCAATAAAAGCAGTCTAGACCCCAGAGATCCAAATGAGGCAATTAAACTAAATGAAAACTGGCACATATGTCATCTGTGTTCCTGACTCCATGACCCCCAAATGAGCTTTTTCCTTCCGCCCACACTTTCTAATATTTTGCTTGATCCCCAATGTATTTTTCCCCTTATCCCCAGGGAGGCTTACTTCTAAATAGTGCATATGCCAAAGGCATAGTTCCTTTCTGTCCTCAAGCAATATGGTACATAGAGGGTCAACATCTGGGCCACTGACTGTGTAGTTAATAAGTTTGGCTAAAAAAAAATCTTTTTGTGAAGAGTTCTTCAGACAGAGGTAGACCAAAGTCACTGTCCATTTAAATTATATTTGAACTCCAGGGCTGTAAGCATGATTAACAAACAAATGCTCATTCATTTGGAAAAGAGTAGCCATTTAAAATTTTTCTGATCAACTTGAAAATTTGGTTATTAATAATTATTACTCACATTTCTATAACATTTTGCACTTTATAAAGCACCTTCCTCTAGCCACCAAAATGTTAGGAATAATTGTCCCTATTTTACTTTTGGGAAAAATGAGGTTGAGAGATAAATTTTCTTGCCCACAGCCAAACATCAAATAAGTTACGCAGCTTGCATTCAAGTGCAAGTATTTGAATGGAACCCCACTAGTATTATGACCTCATCATACTATATCAATCAATTAATCAATATGCATTCATTAAGCACCTACTCTGTGCTAGGCACTGAAATATGGTAATCTATGGTTTGAGAGGCAGCTTAACAGAATAGTAGAGAGACTACCTCCAGAATCTTAGAAGTTTACTAGCTTTGTGACTGGGCACAAGTCATTTAACATTTTTCAACCTAAGTTTTCTTATCCATATAGTGGGAATAGTAACAGCATCTATTTCATTGGGTTATTGTGAGGATCAAATGAGATAATATTTATAAAGTGTTTAAAAGAACAGTGGCTGGCATATAATAGGAATAATAATAATAGATACTTAATAAATACTTGTTTCCTTCCTTCCTGTGAAACCTATCAATGAGAGGAAGCCTACCACTAACCTAAAAACCTCATTTCGTTTATAGTTCACTGTAATTATTAGGAAGATTTTCCTCAAGTACTACCAAAATTTACCTCTCTGTGACTTTCATATACTTTGTCTACTGTTCTATTTTGGTTCTAATTTTGTCCTCTGGGTCAAGGAAAACGAGTCTTATTTCTCTTTTGCATGACATTCTTCTAGATACTCAAAATCAACTATGATATCCCCCACAAGTCTTCTTTTGTTCAGGCTAAACATCTTTCAATTAAATGGCCTTGAAGCTCTTGACATGCTTCTAGATATGTTCCAGCTTGCTTATAATCTTCCTAAAATATGGTACCCCAAATTGAATATAATACTTTATATAAGGTCTGACTAGGTAAGAGTATTATGCCTCTCAATTAGGCCTAAAGTTTCAGAAATGTTTTTGGTAGTTATGTCATACTATTGCTTCATTCTAAACTTGAAATTCAAAAAAATCTGCCAATGTTTTTTTTTAAGACATTTTTCCTGTCTAGCTTATACTTCACTGTTTTTATACTTGCAAAGTTTTTTTTTAACTTAAGCATGGAAACATATATATTTCTATTAAATTTTATTTTATTATATTGCTTCTAACTCATTGGTATTTTTCTAGATCTTCTACATCCACCATGTTTGCTATCCTTCCAGGTTTTGTATAATTTGTAAATTTGATAAACATGCCACCTATCCTTTCATATAAGCCATTGATCAAGACTCTTAAATAGTGCAGGCCAATTGAAAAATTCGTTGGGTGTTCCACTGTAACTTTCACTCCATATTGATACTCTTTTGGTCTCATCTTTGATTAGCTGGGTTGACTCAATAGTACTATCATCTAATAAATATATCTATCTTGTCTGTAAGAGTAGCTTAAGAAACTTTACCAAACATCTGATGTAAATATCTAAAGAATACTCCAATTTTGGGGGCAGCTAGGTGGTGCAGTGAATAGAGCTCTGGCCTTGGAGTCAGGAAGACCTGAGTTTAAATCTGGCCTCAACACTTGGCACTTACTAGCTATTTTAGTCTGGGCAAGGCACTTAACCCCGATTGCCTCATCAAAAAGCAAAAAAAAAAGAAAAAAAAAGAATGCCTTGATTTGCCCACCCAAAAACAATGAGAAAAAGAAATGAAGATAGTATGACCTGTTCTTAATGAATGCATGATACCTCTTAGTGATTACCACTTTCTTTTTTTTTTTTTTTGATGGTCCAGAATAATATGACTGATAGCACATTCCAGATTTTTGTCACTAATTGAAATCTAGCTCAATGACATAAAGTTTATAAATTTTACTCTTCCTTAGCTAAAATTAGAACAGTATTTGTCTTTCTCGAGTCTTAAAGTACTTCCTTTCTTTGTAATCTTTTAAAGATCAATAACAGTGGATCAGTCATAATATCTGTCAGTTCTTTAAATACCTGAGGATGTAGCTGGTTTGAGACAGATGAAATCACCAGGGGCAGCTAAGAGTTCTCTTATTATGTCTGTAGACACTGGCCTGGTCCCATTCAGTAATGAAGACCAATGTTGTAAACTTAAATTTCATCTACAACATCTATATGAAATACCCAACAGCAGAGGGCGCTCTGGACTAACCACCCAGTACGTCATGAAAAGTTTCTTAATTTCACCCCTTTTGTTCATGGCAATACTCAAGTTAGGCCGCTAGGTGGCATAGTGGAGAGAGTGCCGAGGCTGGAGTCAAGAAGACCTGAGTTCAAATGTGACCTCAGACACTTATTAATTGTGTGACCCTGGGTAAGTCACTTCACCCTCTTTGCCTCAGTTTTCTCATCTGTAAAATGAACTGGAAAAGGAAATGCCAAACCACTCCACCATCTCTGTCAAGAAAACCCCAAATGGGGTCATGAAGAGTTGGACACAACCAAAAATGACTGAACAACAATACTCATTTTGATAATCTAAAGGGTTTGGTCAGGACTCATCCAAATCAGATCATGATTCAACATTTTTCCTATTCCTGGAATAACTATGCCCTGCTCTGTTTTAAATGAAG